ATTGCTTTTGCTGATGCTTAAGGTAATGGAAATCATTACAAATTGCAGTTTAGATTTTATTTCAAAGTTTGGAATTAAAGTAAAATGCTAAACGTCCATTTCACTCCTCTTCCAATAAACACCAACAATTCATCAACATGTTTTGCATCCATGAGGTACATTACTGGAGGCTTCTGCGTAACACACAGCTCTATCACATGTTCAAGGCTGTACCTTATCCCTTTTGGAAAAAAAAAAAATGTGAAACCTGATGACTCAAAAGAATCATTGGTTATTTTAAAACATTCTTTTTAAATAAAGGAGATCTAGGGGACACCTGTATCTTCTTTCACCAACATCCACTTCCACTATACTATCTGGAAATTTAATTGAGGTAAGTATTCTGTAGTGCATTTAACTCATTTCTCTTTCATTCATTCACTTACCTGTGATAATTACAGGGCACTTTTATTCTGTTGTCCTGGGGACTTGATGCAATAGTTCATTGTTCTAACAACAGTGCTTTAAACACAGTAAGGCACTTTCCAATTAAACTAAAATTTAAGAATAAACTAATACCTAAATTTTAACATTTACAATACTGACAAAAGGATTATTAAAAAGCAATTATATTGAGGTTTTTTTCCAAGAAAGTGAAAAGGCAGAAATAATTAAAAGCAGATCTTTAAAAAGATGGTACATAAATCCTATTTTCTGGCTCATGTTAACATAAAGAGCAAATCAGGATTTTATAGGAGATTATTAATAGTTAAAAACAAACAATGACATGACTCAGTAGGTAAAGGCACTCGTCAGCCAGGCTGATGACTTGACTTCATCCTCTATAACTCATATTGTAGAAAGAGAGAACCAATTCCTGCAAATTGTCCTCTGGCCTTCACACACATATGTACCCACACACAGAAAATAAATATAATTTAAAACTTGCCCTTTAGACTCTTAAGAGTGGGGACAGGGGCTGTCTCTGACTTTGGTGCCTGCTTTTAGGACCCTTTCCTCCTACTGGGTTGCCTCATCCAGCCTTAATAGGTGAAGACACGCCTAGTCTCACTGCAACTTGATATGCCATGGCTGGTTGATATCCATGGGAGGCCTGCCCCTGTCCTGAAAAGAAATCAAAAGAGGCGTGGGTGGGGGAGGGGGACTGAGAGGAGAGGAGGGAGGGGAAACTGCAGTCAGGATGCAAAAACAAACATCAAACAAATAAATTTAAAAATCACCCTTTAAATAAACTTGACTAATCAGTTGCAGTAGGTATTTTATATACACTAAGAACCTCTCTTAGTTTTCTCACGCACTGAAAGTGAGTTCTAGGGAGTAAGATGCTCGCTGTGCAAGCCTGGCCACTGGAGTTTGATCCCTGGATGAGGAGAACTGACTCCACAACGCTGTCCTCTGACCGTCACACATGCACTGTGGCTTACGCTCCCAGCCATGTGCGTGACATAGACACATACAAATAAATAACACGTTTTATAAAAAAAAAAAACAACTCAGGTTTATTCATTTGGTGAACGGTAGGATACATTTGCTCTGAAGAGGAAAATGGGAAAAACAGTGGAGGAGACTCACATAAGGAGGAGGAATTGTAGGCGAACTTTTCCCTTCCTGGCACCTGCTTCCAAATTACCACACAGAGGCTTATATTAATTGTAAATACTCAGCCAGCAGCTCAGGCTTGTTAATAACTAGTTCTTACAACGTAACGCATTTCTATTCATCCATGTACTGCCCCCAGGCTCGTGGCCTTTACCCCTATCCCATTTTGTATGTTCGTTCGACTTGTTCTCCATCTCGCTGGCGACTTCACCCCCACCCTTCTTCACCTCTGATTGTGCCACTTTTTTGTTTTGTTTTGTTTCGTTTTGTTTTTCGAGACAGGGTTTCTCTATGTAGCTTTGTACCTTTCCTGAAACTTACTCTGTAGCCCAGGTGGGCCTCGAACTCACAGAGATCCGCCTGGCTTTGTCTCCAGAGTGCTGGGATTAAAGGCGTGCGCCACCACCGCCCGGCTGTCCCACTTTTTTAAAACTTTTTTATTCATTTTACATACCAACCACAGATCCCCCCCCTCATCATCCCCTCCTCCAAAAGGGTAAGTTTTCCCATGGGACAGCAAAGCCTGGAACATTCAATTGAGGCAGGACCAAGCCCCTCCCCACTTCATCAAGGCTGAGCAAGGTGTCCCACCATAGGTAATGAGCTCCAGAAAGCCAGCTCATGCACCAGGGATAAATCCTGATCACACTGCCAGGGGCCCCTCTGTAGGGCATTTACCCACCAACCCCACAGTTCCCCAGAGTTCTCTTGAGTGTGAGCAGCAGGAAATATTAGATAGAAGGATTTATATTGCTGAGATAAACAGATAGAAAATAAAGGATAGCCTCGAGAGGGCCTGGAACCTATTCCAACGGGCCCTGACTGTCTCTGCCTCAGGGTATTTATAGAGACGCCAAGGGGTGGAGCAAGAGACCTCCCCCCCAGCACAGCCAAGTGCTGACCATCCCAGACACCTGCACTCAGGCCCGTGGTCCTATCATCTTCCTCTATGCGGACCTGCTGGGTAAAGCCAGGAGGAACCTGAAAACGGGCTCCCACACCCCTCAAACAGACCCAGCTACACAACTGTCTCCCATATGCAGAGGGTCTAGTCCAGTCCCATGCAGGTTCCACAGCTGTTGGTCTAAAGTTCATGAGTTCCTGAGCTTGGTTCAGTTGTCTTTGTAGATTTCCCCATCATGATCTTGATACCCCTAGCTCATACAATTCCTCTTCTCTCTCTTCGACTGAACTTCCAAAGCTCAGCCTGGTGCTTGGTGGTGGATCTCTGCATCTGCTTCCCCGTCAGTTACTGGATGAAGGCTCTATGATGACAGCTAGGGTATTCACCAATCTGATTACCAGGGTAGGCCAGTTCAGGCACCCTCTCCACTATTGCTAGTAGTCTAAGGTGGGGTCATCCTTGTGGATTCCTGGGTATTTCCCTAGCACCAGGTTTCTCCCTTACCCCATAATGTCTCTATCAAGATATCTCTTTCATTGCTCTCCCACACTGTTCCTCCCCAGCTCAACCATCCTGCTTCCTCATGTTCTCATTCCCCATCCCCTCCTCTCTATTACCCATAGTTTACTCATGGAGATCTTCTCTGTTTCCCCTTACCAAGGTGATCCATGCATCCCTCTCAGGGTCCTCCTTGTTTCCTAGCTTCTCTGGAGCTGGTCCCACCTAGCTTTATCTTACCTTACTATAGGCCAATCAGTTTATTAACCAATTAGAGTAATACATATTCACAGTGTTCAGAATGACTATTCCACAGCAAGGAATGGCAACATGGAGTGTTAAATAACACTAAGGATATTTGAAAAAGCTGTAGAGAATTATATTATCTTATGGTGGCAATGCTCCCCCTAAAACCATAGACTAATAAAATCCCCAGTGCCAGGCATGGAAAATCTCCTTTTGAGTTGTTGGTCAGTGAGTACAAGAGACCCCAGAACAATATAGGCCATTGCCATCATCCTTGGTACTTTCCAAAAAAGAAGGTAACAGCCTATTGCTGAAGACATCATACACTTAGGACAGAGGATTTGGAGGAGCTGATCTGGGACTTGGACAACTGACTATAGCTGCTTCCTAAACCAGTGCAACCCCTAACCACATTCTACTGCTAATTCTTCATCCAGGGATTAGTACAGCTCTCACTCCTCATCAAAGCAGCTCCTTTTTGTTCTGATGGCAATCACTACAGAAATCCACAAATGGTCAAAATGCAGAGACCAATGGAGCACGGAATGCCTGCCCCTAGTGATACATTTGCAACACAAGCCCTGCATTGAAGGCTCAGGGAACATCACAGAGGAGGAGGCAGAAGATCGTAAAAAGCCAGAGGACCAGGATAAGATAGTCTCTCTTAGGAGGAGTAAATAATGACATAAAGAGACTGTGTGTGTGTGGGGGGGGTGTAATGGTTCTCAAAGAAATTGTGGGGGAAGACCAGGGGTGAAAAAGATCAGGATACATTGTATACAATTCTCCATGAATAAAAATACTTTTATTATTTTTTTTAAAATACTAAATGCCTACTGTGTGCCAAACTTTGTTTTAGGTCTTGAGAACACAGAGGTAAACAACATAGCTATAATTCTTGCCTTCCCAATGGTTCTAACAGTCTAGGGAAGATAATACCTAGCTCATTGAATCCTTGGAAAGCCAGGTGTTACCTAATTGTTTTGTGACATACACCCAAAGCTCTTGAACATAATGCCCTTCTTCTTATGCCCTTCTCTCCCGCATAGCAACCCGACCTGAACACTGCTATCATTAGAGGCAGACAGTCATACACAAGTTCAATGCATTCCATTTGTGCATACCTTTGTAATCTGTGAAATAATTTCAAGAGACATAAGAAAATTGATCATTTCCAATTCAGTGCACTGTATGAACTCATAAAAGATGGGCCATGGAGGTTAATTATGAACAGGTATGTATTGATGGAACCTGTAACCAGTACTTTAACTGTTCCCATCTAAATGTAGAAAGAAATACACTATCTTTGTATTACTTCTTCAAGATTGTGTTCTTTTACATAAACAGTATAGACACTGCAAAACTACTTAATAAAATGTGTATTTTCAGACTTACTCCAAAAGGTTTTAAGTGTTCCCAATGTTTTCTAAAACTCATAAAATGAATTTGTTTATTTTTTTATATTTATGTTATTTATTTTTTGGTTTTTCGAGACAGGATTTCTCTGTGTAGTTTTGCGCCTTTCCTGGAACTCACTTTGTAGACCAGGCTGGCCTCGAACTCACAGAGATCCGCCTGCCTCTGCCTCCCGAGTGCTGGGATTAAAGGCGTGTGCCACCACCGCCCGGCAACTCTTCTGAATTTGAGTTTTATGTATGCAACTTCCAACATGGATCAAATAAATGCATTCAGAATACACCAAAAAAAAAAAAAAAAAAGGCAGAGACTATGGTTTATGTTTACATTTTAATACTTGAGAAAAAATAAGTTAAAGTGGATACAAACACTGCTGGTACACAAACACACAAAAAACATAATCCATACAAATCCAGTCTCACATAGAGTCGGTATGAAACTTGGACGTAAGAGTACATCAAAACCTTTATTAGCTCCTTTTAAGGAAGTAACAGATTTTTAAATTAGACATGAAGTGATTGCAGAAAAAAAATGTTTTCTTTGGCTGGGCGGTGGTGGCGCATGCCTTTAATCCTAGCTCTCAGGAGGCAGAGGCAGGCGGATCTCTGTGAGTTCAAGGCCAGCCTGGTCTCCAAATCGAGTTCCAGGGAAGGTGCAAAGCTACACAGAGAAACCTTGTCTCAAAAAACCAAAAAAAAAAAAAAAAAAAGTTTTCTTCAAACTATTCCTTTATCCATTAAGAACTACAAACTCTGGCAGAGTGTAGTAGCTCAAAATCAGCACTCAGGAGTCTGAGGCAGGAGGATTGCTATGAGCCCTGTGGGAGCCCATTTTCAGGTTCTTCCTGACTTTACCCAGCAGGTCCGCAACAAGGAGGATGATTAGGACCACGGGCTTGAGTGCAGGTGTCTGAGATGGTCTGCACTTGGCTGTGCTGGGGGAGGAGGTCTTTTGCTCCACCCCTTGGCGTCTCTATAAAAACCCTGGCACAGAGACAGTCGGGGCCCCTTGGAAAAGGTTCCAGGCCCTCTGGAGGCTATCCTTTATTTTCTATCTGTTTATCTCCGAACTATTCTCCACATTAAACCCTTCTAATATTTCCTGCTGCTCACACTCAAGAAAACTCGGGGGAACTGTGGGGGTGGTGGGTAAACGCCCCACAGAGCTCAAGGCCAGCCTGGGCTACATAGAGAGTGCCAGGCAAGCCACATCTGTATAAGGAGATCTTGTCTAAGAAAAAAATAATGTGGACGACACTTCTAGGTCACTAATTACTCCAAGCATTCTGAAGGCACCCTCTTCAAACACCTTACTTGAGGGCCGATCTAAAAATAAGTGTTTCACTTTTCTGTTTTATATAATTATACATTCATAAATTATAGCAAAAAAACCCAAAAACATTCCATTTTTAAGAAACCACACATATCTTCCAGGTACTTCCGCATTTTATGCTTGATATTTGCTTTATTAAAGATTAAACATAAAAATACTTTATGTAATACACTATTACTAAGAAAAAATGAATACAACTACAATATATTTTTTAAATTGTAGCAGTGATTCATCAGTTCTTTAGAAAATTTCACAATATACTTTAAGGAACTTAAGTTTTAATTTGTGAGGGAGGGAAAAGTTTTTTACATTTATTGCATATATGAATGTTTTATCTGCACGTATGTATGTGTACCATATGCATGCCTGGTGCCTGTGGAGGCCAGAAGAGGGCATCAGATACCCTGAAACGGGGGTTTTGGAGTTCTGGATGGCTGTGAGCCACCGCGTGGGTACTAGAAATCAAACTTGGGTCCTCTGCAAGAGTAACAAGTGTTCTTAATTGCTAAGCCACCTCTCCAGCCCCATGGAATTTAATTTCTTATTCACATAAAGCGTATGTTTGGGAAAGTCAAGCTACACAGAAGGAGAAATTCATCCTATATGACTATAGCTGGAGAAATTCTCTTCTGCGGAAGAACAGACCAATACACTTTATTTTCCAAATAAATAATTCTAAATTCTAGAATTTATGCCAGGTACCTGAGCAATTATCTTTACTCTTGATTACCCAGCACAAAGATAATTAAAATTGTAAAAAATCTACTGAGTCACAGCTAGGGCTGCCTATAATACCATTTACATTTTTCTTTTAATTCCCAGAAGTTACTGATATACAAATGATTTATGGTCCCCTACATGAGGGAATAACCTCTATAAAGGTACAGCCCTTCCTCTTTGGAAGGTGAGTTAGATATTCCCAATTACTAGCAATGTTCTTGGCACCTCCTCTACACTAGAGGTGCTTTCAAAGATGTAAATACGGCCATTGTCAACGCTCAGAACAGGGGAAGTAAACCAAGACCTCGGTGGCTTTCTGAGTAGATCTTTGATTTTAAGCATAATCCTTGGGTAAAGATCACTGACTTTGACACAAGGTTCTCTCACTGTACATCTGTAGAACGGCAGCAGCCAGCTAAGATGCTTAGTCACTCCATGAGCGCACTTCTGGGTAAACTGTTTTGTTTTGCTCTGGGAACTGTATGTATTTAAAGGAGCTGGAGATGAAGCTCGGTAGTCATGCTTATCTAGCATGTGAGATGCCCCAGAATGGATCCTCAGTATCACAAAGAAAATGAAGGGAAAGGAAGATGAGAAGGAGATAGAAAAGGGAGGGCATTGGAGTTATAAGAGTCAAAATGCCATTTTTTTTTCCCTTGAGACATGTCTCCAGTACACAGCTGATGATGACCTTGAATTTCTGATCCTCCTGCCTCTATTTCCCAAGTTCTGAAATTACAAGCATGTAGCACTGTATCTGTTTTTTTTCTAAAACTTATGACAATTGATAATACCATAAAGTTACTTAAAACCCTTAAAACTTCCCAAAGTACATTAATAAACTTTAAATAGTGACAGACCCATATGCAAAATATTTACAAGTATCCCTGTCGGTGGAAGGAGTTTATGCTGTCATTACATCATCTGGATGTTCCTGAAGAGAATCTGCCTACAGAACAGACGGATGGACACGGACACACACACACACACACAGTCTGTCTGCTGGCCACTGGAAAACTGAGTACAATATGGCTTTATTGATGAGGATTAACATAATTTGGAGAATCTAATTAAAACTGATAGTGTGGTATCAAAAGACATACAAGTCATGTGATAGAATGTGTACATAGTAGCACTCTAAGGCCCTTTTAATACCATCTTAATTTTATGTGTGTGTACACACGTGCAGGTACACAAGTATGTGTCTAGAGAGAGACCAGAAGTTGGTAGTGAGTGTTTTCCTTTGTTATTTACTACTCTATTTAATGAATCAGCATCTCGCAAAAAAGCTGGAGCTCATCTGTTTGCCTAGTCTAACCAGCCAGCTCATCCCAGGAGATCTCGTCTCTTCCTCCTGCATGCTGGGACTACACACGGAGACCATCATGCCCACCCATTTCTATGTAGGTTAAGGATCCAAACTCTTGTCCTCAGGTCTGCACAAGAAGGGCTTTATCCACTGAGCCACCTCCCCAGTCTCTATCATCTTAGTTTTAAGATCGTTAAAACCTAATTCTGATATCAAAACACACTGTTTCAATGTAAAAATACTTGTCTGTATACATAGGAAATATGCTAGAAGCTATTAAATCTCTTTCCCTGTCACACTGCAGATTTCATCTAAAAAAATAAGATACAAAGTATGTAGGTTGTCATATTAAAAAAATCTTACTTTTTACTAAATCTCAGGTTATGTTCCAATAAGTTAATTTACTTGGTTGGGTTTTCTTTTTTTTTTACCAAAAATATTGATTATAAAATGCTACTAGTATTAATAAAAGTCCAATTTTAATTAAAAAAAACCATTTCCTTCTGACATAGAAAGGTTATAGAGAATTAAATAATAAGAATTCCTAAATGGAATTCTTAAATTCCAGATTAAATATCCAGAATGTCAAACCAAGCAGCAGCAGCCGCCACTGGTACTTAGGATTGCTGGACCAGGATTCCTGATCAGAAAGTTAACTTCGGTGCCTTTTACAGCATGTGTCAAACCGTGGCTGGGTTTTACTATGTACCCCTGGCAAGTGTCCTGCCTCAGCCTTCAGAGCTGGGATTAGAGGGCACACCCCAAAGCCAAACACACCGTTGCTTTATGATTGAACACAGTAACTAGTGTTAAGAACATCAGAGTTGCTATTAGCAGAAACTCTCCATAGTTAATACCTCTTCAAAGACACACCAACTATATAGTTACAATTCTAGTAGTGTTGTTGAAGTTTTGCATTTTTCCTCAAGCAGCAGACATTAACAGACAGCACAGATCTAAACTCATGCGTGTGCCTATTAACATACAAAACGCGTGTGAGTCTTCTCCTCGACTCAGCCCTGTCTCCTGACTTCATCCTCCATCTTGACCTCATGTCTGTAGCTATCCCGACAAACACACATAGGAAGACCTTTGGAGGTCCTGGTGGAGGTGATCCCCATTCTGCTCGGTCACCTGGATTTGTTAAAAATGATACAAGTGTATTTATTTTCTAAGCTTCTTACTTCCAGTCATAACAAAATAATGGTCATCCTCCTCCTTTTTCTTGGCAGTCGGTTTTTTATCTCCACTGGCTGTGCCCTTCCCAGATGAGGGTGGCTTCCTGGTGGACGCTGGGGGCATGCCACTTTTGGGAGGCCCTTTAGCTGCATACTGGCCCTTCACGGCAGTCTGTGCTAACTTTGAGACAGTTTCTGCCTTGGCAGCAGATTGGGGGACACTCACAATGGACAGTGGGGTACGGCCAGGAGACTTCGGAGAGCCAGGTCCTGTCTTCTGGCAGGTACCCTTACTCTGTGGTTGCTTTCTGGCAACTGAAACACTATTCTCACCTTTCGACTCCTGAGCAGCTTTTGTGGAGGACGCTGAACACACAGAAGCTGGATGGTGGACGTTCAAGGTGGACTGAAGTCTCGGTGCTGAGGTGACCTTTGGTTTCAGAGTTCTACCAGGGGGCTGAGTCTGTGTCCCTAGACCCATGGCTCTGGTTTTAGAACTGGGTTTGGTCACTTTTGCAGGGGATTGGAAAGGAGAAGGGTTAGGCCTTCCATGCATGTTTCCTTTAGGGAGCTTTGGACATTTGGATGATAAATTTATAGGTGACTCACCCCTGGAAGAAAGATGACTGTGTTTCAAATACTTTGGTTCAGTTTTTCCAGAAGACTTACTTGGCAAAAGTCTAGACTGAGATAGGTCTCTTGACTTCTGCGCTGGAGTAGCCACAGTCTTAGCAGTCTTGGGGACGGTGACACATTTTCCCGCTGACTCCGATGCACACTGTGCAGTGCCTGACGAAGCTGGTGTGGTGCTGTTACCCACTGGATTTAAAGAAGCCAGGGAAGACGACGCAGTGTTGGGAGGAGCGTGGGGCTTTTGTGCTCTGCCCTTTGAGGATGCAACCTTGGCGTGGGACAATGAGGCTGGAGAATCGGGAAGTTTCAAACGGGCGGACAGGGAAGCCGGACTACCCTTCACTGACGATGCTGGAGGCAACACTCCCGGGGGACGTACCTGTCTTTCCTTGCTCTTCGGAACACTCGCTGGTGTGCCAGGTCTTAAATTTTGTTTCTGAAACATGTTAACCGCGGACAAAGGGTTCATTTCTGGGGGCTGGGGCGTTCTGGCAGGTGCATCCGGCACACTTCCATTAGAAACTCCTTTTTGAAAAGCTAAAATTTTTTGTTCTAGCATAGCGAACTGCAGTATTCGACAAGGGTCATACTTCAGCAAAAATCCTTGCAGAGTGTCCCAGCCTCCGCCAACGCGGACCATGACATGTTTTCCGTGAAGCATCTGCCCCAAAACAAGAATAAAAAATAGAACGGTGAAACGGTGAGGTTTACGGTTTCAGTCTGTTCACAGTCATGATTTGTATTTCCTGTGACCCGTGAAACTCCGAGTATCCACCAATAGCTTTGCTTCAAATCACCAGTCTCTTCTTGGTATCAAAATAATAAATTTAGTATTAGATTATACAACGAGTAATAAAAGCGCTCCACTTTGTAGTAAAAATATTTACCAATAATTTTCGTCCTACAGTCCACATAGTTAATATAGAAAACTGCAATGGTGATATTGTTCAATGGATCGAGGACTGAAGGAAGGAACAAGAAACGGAGGCAGAAAAAAGCCTCGCGAGAGACAAAAAGTAATGAGGAAAAAACAACTAAAACTGAAATTGTAAAATTTAAAGTTTATAGTCTATCAATTTCATCTTTAAAACACTTACATAAATCACTATTAGTTTGTCTTTGCAGATATGAATGACTCTGAGAGATTAAGACATTTGCGGCTAGCCTCGATCACACCAGGCTTTTGTGGGGATAAAACAAACTCCGGTTCTAATGCAACCCAGGCTGGGTTTTAGGTCCCTGTCCCCTCAGCTGCTAGATCTTCACATCTCTATGAGCTGAGCTTTCAACTTTAGCTCTCTGTCCCATTCCGAGTATATCATGCTCGCACCATAGATAGTAAGTGCTCCTTACTCTTGGCCCTAACCAGAGAATCTCCTCTTTCCAGTAAACAGTGGTGAATACAGATTCATGGCTGCACAAAGTGCTGAGTACATGTGATGGATGAGTACTCAGTCCTCTAAGGTTCAGGAAACATTTTTGGAAGAGGGGGTAGAAAGAATGTAAGAGCCAGATGACAGGGAAAAGGGCTGAGAAAGTTCATCTCCTGGGGAAGACACAGCCATCAGTAACGAATTCCCAGCTGCAGAGTCTGAACAAGACCGGGCCCAACCCGGGGCATGGGTGGAGGAGGGGCTTTGGGAACTCCACCCCTCGCTGCTGACTATTTGCTAAGAAAGAGAACGGGAAGACTTTACTGTTGTCACTTATTCCCTAATCTCTCTTTGGGTCAGTTTGGGTAATAAATGAACAGTCAAGTCGACCTGGTTTCTGCTTCTATTTGCTATTCATCAGATTCACGGAGAGGGGAAATTGCCTGCAGGTGTGGCCACTGATGACCCTACCGGGCTCCAGTGAATAGTTTCCAATCCAGCAGCTACATAGATGGTCCCCATTAAACCAATTAAGTCACAAAACAAATCCAAAGTCGTACATACCAGAAGGGACTGGTAGCCTTGAGGAGACAGAGTGGACAGAGGGTGGGGTGGGGGTGTGTGTGAGAAGGAAGGAGAGGATGGAGGGAAGGCAAGGAGAATAATCAGAATACAGCATGTAGACGTATGAAATCGCTCAACAATGAAATTAGCAAATAAAGATTTTCAAGAAAGCTAATTAGGAGACAGAAAGTGAATTTGGGTGTTTTTAGATGAGTTGGATACAGGGTGGAAATATGATGATTCTATGTAAAATAGAAGGAAATGTAGATGGTGAAGTTGTATTTTTAAGTACTTTTATATTATGTTCCTCAACTGAGAGAAAACAGCTCTTACATTATATCAGAAGTAGAAAAATGCTAAACAGGTGAAATTCTAATTTCCTTATCAACAAAAGTGAAACAATTAACTGCAGATGGGACAAAGAAAGGCCATAAACATGGATTATCAGCACACTGGTCCATGACCTAAGAAAAGGGTCTTACGTTCACACCTGGAAGTGTTTATCATTATGAATGGCAATATTTCTGTTTATTTTCTTTTTTTGGTTTTTCGAGACAGGGTTTCTCTGTGTAGCTTTGCGCCTTTCCTGGATCTCGCTCTGTAGACCAGGCTGGCCTTGAACTCACAGAGATCCACCTGGCTCTGCCTCCCGAGTGCTGGGATTAAAGGCGTGCACCACCACCACCCGGCCTCTGTTTATTTTCTTACTATTGATATTAATCTTACTGGATATTGTATTTTGTTCATTTTTTTCTTAGGGAGTTGATGGAAAATTATTCCATTTAAGAAAATCTGAAAAATGCAGAAAATTCCCCCAAAGTACATGAGGATATTTTATTTAGTTATATTCCATGTTTTAAATAGTTTCATCTGTCTTCTAGTTAGTTGCTTGAATGTTAAAAGCATCTGCTCAAACCCACTTAAAATTCATGAAATCAAGTATACCGTATTTTTCCTGTCCAGTGAAATTCTTCCATTAATAGCAGCCTCTATTCTAATTTTTTTTTTTAAACAAGTAAAAGGGGGATCAAAAGAAGCTTGGTAAGGAATAAGCCCAATTCCAAGCTTAAGGAATAAGCCCAATTCCAAGACAAGCTTGTCTGAATACAGGCGGCAAACAGCAAACTTACCCTTATGAAGAGTATTTTCTCCCCGAGCCGGTACCGTCCTTCAGATAAATATTCAATAGAAAATCGATGTGAACAGCTACAAGGAGGGTCCTCAGCAATGTGTCTAACCTAAAATTAAAAATAAATATCAATATTCAGTGCTTATTAGAAAAATTGCCTATCAAAAGCAATGTTATTGGATAGGAAAATAAATAGCCGGTTCAACTATTTAATATCTCTTCTCCTTTCCTTGCTAACAGATTTTGAAATCAGCTAAATTCACAACAGCCAGCAATGCTGAGGGCCAGGTCTCCCTGTCTCTTAGACCTGAAACCAGGGTTGAAGTTATAAACACTGAAGGTCTGAAAATGGATTAAGACCGTAGAGTCAACTTAAAACACTTGTGCTGATCTTTAGGAACATGAGCTCATCATTAAATTTGAGTTATTTTAAGCTCTGAATAATTACATTTGTGTCAAATCAAAGACCATCCAGTCAGATATAGGCTAAGTAAGAATTTTTGCTTTTCCCTTAAGACAATGCTAAACTGATAAACAAATGTAAGAAAAACACCTACATGTGTTCCAAGATACTGATAATATAAACAGAGACATATGTCTATATGCTCATGATGGGGTAAAATTCTTAATATTTCAATTCAGGAAGCATTTTTCTAGAAGTATTTGCTCCATTTCAAATACCTCATGAGGAAAGGAAAGGAAAATAACTTTACTTCTACCCCTCAAAATGCTGTTTTACTGATTAAGAATTTCAAACATGTATACAATGTATTTTGACCACATCTATCACCTCCAACTCCCCCATTTCAATCCTCTCAGACACTTCATGTCCCCCTCCCAACTTCATGCCTTCTTCTCTTTGATCATCCACAGAGTACAATTAGTGCTGCCATATATAAGTGGGTACAAAGTTATCCATTGGATCATGGACAACCTACAAGGGCCACATGCCTGAAGAAATCCGACACCACCCCCATATGGATAAAATGCCAACCGCTTCTTAGTTGAGATCCTAGCCCATCCATGCTGGGATGTTGACTGGCTTGGTCTTGTGGTGCATGTCTTATGAGTTCAAGAGTGTATCAGAACTATTTCACAGTATTCCTCCATGACCTCTGGATCTTACAGTCTAAGAACCTTCCCTTCCCTAATGGTCCCTGAACCTTGAGAGAAGCCTCAAGAAAATGGTACAATTACAGTGACCAAAAAAAGAAATTTAGTCATTCTACATTTTAAACAAGGAAAATAAAACAAATTGATTAAATGATGATATATTTTGAAATACGTTTCAAGTGAAAAACATTACACATCAGCCATTAAGATAAATATTGGGCTTTCTCCTCAAATTACATTTAAAAAAGAAAAAAAGAGGTCATGCCTGGAAATAGCATGCTGGTGCCCACCTTTAATCCCAACACTCAGGAGAAAAAGGGGTTGGGGTTCTCTATTAAGGCCAGTCTTGTCTACATACTGAGTTCCAGGCCAACCAGGGTGGCACAGTGAGACCCCATCTCAAAACAAAACAACAAAAAAGGTCGTAACTATTTTTTGCAATTACTTATCATACAAAGCATATCAAAATATATTCATTTAATTGAATTTAGGCCTAATGTTTTAAACAGTCTCTTTAGATATGCCCAATTTATCTGCTCACTAAGAGGAATTTATGATTGCCTTAATTATCTACCAAAAGTAAGTTAACAATTATGGATTCATAGGGCTTGATAAGAACATTAATAGAATCAATTTCCATGTTGTTTACGTAACAGGAAAATATGCTTGTAAACAACTGGGATTGATCTCTCTAAGTCACTCAATAAGGTTTCTCTTGCTCATGGACTGGTACATATGCATCTATGTTCATATATACCACAGACACTGAAATCTGGTAAAGCTGACAGTTAGTAGAATACGTTTTTATATTAGTTAACCAAAGTAACTGGACAGGAGGCATTTCTGTTAGCCATTACTTTCTGTAAAAATTTCTGAAGTTTATAAAATTCTATTTGCATATTTAACAGGCTCCAACATAATCAATCAAATAGTAATTGTCCTATATGCTAAATATTAATCCAGGATATCTGTACATCATATCCATGTATAGGTGAACATTGAATGTATTAATATAACATGTACATGTTTAAAGAAGTATGCTTGTTTTTAGCTTTCCCAGTAAGATTTCAGATCTGATATTTGAGCCACTCACTTTCCCTGATTAGAATATCCGAATAAGTGCTTACATTTAACAATATGAAGTTGTCAATGCTAGAGCCGTACTAGCAGAGTCTACAAAAGGTAATGAGCTACGGACAAGATTTTTTTCTATATCTATTTATTGCATAATTAACACTGAAGGAAATAGCTAAAGAAATTAATCTACATCAAAATTGCCTTATTTTCATTCTCCTCACTCCCATATTTTTGTCTATGTATACATATTTTTCATAAAATCAGCATTTTCTCCCTGCTACCTAATAATTGTCATAGCAATCACATAAAACAATCATTCTGTGACAATACTGAATTTTAAATTATCAAGTTTGCCCTACTGGAGGGTTTGTATGTTACTTAAATTTTCCACCATTATAAATAATAGTAAAATAAACATTTTTGTTTTTTTACTGAACTCAATTATAATAAAAATAGAGTATGTTTGTAACTCTTAATTTTGATTTTTCAAAATTATACATGAGTTTTCATTAACAATAATAATTCTTAAGTTTAGTTTCACCACAATTTATACAGCTTTCAACTTTTCAACTTTTAAAACTTCTGCTACTAAAACAAAATGGTATTTTGTGACTATCTTCTCACCTTATTCCCTGAATTACCAAATGTCAACATTATACTTTACTCTTGTTTGAACATTTGCCCACTGAAAGTGTTTTTCTTATCAAATGTACTGTCTTCATATAATAAATTATTTTTCATTTAACAAAATATATTTCTGTAGCTGAATGTTTTCCTGTGTTCTGCCCAGTTCACGGCTGCTCAGACCTAAGTAAACACATACAGGCTTATATTAATTAAACTGCTCGAGCTCAGGCCTATCACTGACTAGCACTTACACTTAAACTGAGCCCATTTCTGTTCATCTGTATGTTGCCATGTATTCCGTGGCTTTACCTGTGTGCCATTGCATGCTGCTCCCTGGATGGCAGGCTGGTGTCTCCAGACTCAGCCTTCCTCTTCCCAGAATTCTCCTTGTCTGCTTATCCCGCCTATACTTCCTGCCTGGCTACTGGCCAATCAGCATTTTATTTATCAACCAATCAGAGCAACATATTCACAGCATACAGAGCAACATCACCCATCATATTTCTTTCAGTTTCCATTAATTATCATTCTTTAAGGTTTCATGAAAATTTAAATAATTTTTATCTACAATATTATTCCTGCTTCCCATTCTGATAATTATAATCATCAAATGTATCAATAATATAAAAGTAAATATGTTTGGCCTAATAAAAGCTTTTTCAGACTGACATATTCTTAATCTGTCTTACAAGGTAACCTGAACATTTATTCTATTTTATTTTGTGTGTATGCATGTATGTGTCAGTGTGACATATAAAAGTGCATGTTTTGTGTGTATGTCCACATACATGTGAGTGCACACACATGTGTGCACACTCATGTATGTGGAGACAAGAAGTCTACAGCAAATGTGTCTTCTTCTTCATTCACCTTATTTTTTGAGACAGAGTTTCTCACTGGACCAGAACTCACCAACTAGCTAGAGTGGTGGACCAGTGAGCTCCGGAGAACTGTGTGTCTCTGCCCGAGTCCCTGCACTAGCATTACAAACACAGACCAGCACAGCTAGTTTTCACATGGGTGCTGCAGATCTGAGCTCAGTTTCTCACGTTTGTGCCGAGGTACTTGACCAACTGCTTTCCAGGCCCCAAGCTGAGTGATTTATCAAAGAAAACTACATTTAACAAGAAAATTAGCATTACTAAATATTTATTCTTATTATTAAGTAATTCTGTACACTAAACTTTTCTTTAAAATGCCACAAATCTTTTAGTTATTCTAAATTACACTAAGTGTAAAATGTTTTTTTCTGTCCACCTCCATCATTTATACTAGTCATTGAAGGAGATCTAGAGCAGTGGTTCTCAACCCATGGGTTGTGACCCCTTTGGGCTTTCTATGAGCCTTTCACAGGGGTTGCCTGAGACCACCAGAAAACACAGATATTTACATTACAACTCATAAGAGTAGCAAAATTACAGTTTTAAAGTAGCAATGAAATAATGTTATGGTTGGGGGTCACCACAACATGAGGAACTGTATTAAAGGGTCACAGCATTAGGAAGGTTGAGAACCACTGAACTAGAGCCTAAAGGAATATGATTCTAGTAATTTCTACAGAAGGAACAGGTACTGTTGAGAAGACCATCAGGACACGGCCTGTCATATTAAAAAGTCTGCATATTGTCTGTTAGGGACGATGTTCAGAAAACCCCTCCGGTTCTCCCTCGCAACCTTCTTCCGCCTGTAGCCTCCCAGTACCTGTGTACCGTCTACTCAACCTCGCCAACCACCTTGGACTTCTCTCTCCCTCCCAGTCACTAATCAAGTCCTGTCAATTCTCCTTCCTAAATGCGGCTTACATTTGCTCCTTTTGCTCCACTGCTCACTAGTGTGTTCAAATTGAAACTCTCGTCCCTTCGTGCTTGGGTTAGTACCGTAAAACAAACACAATACACGACCAACAAAGCAATCCCTTTATTATTTACAAGTCAGACTATAATGCTATATTTAAAAAACAAAGACAAGACCATGGACTTCTCACAGCCTCTAGCTGCCACTCTTCACGTACATACTCTCAGAACTCATCAGAGTGCAGATTAGTAACTGGCGTATATTCTGAATAGAAACCATTTTCTTCTATACACAGTATTTCCAGCAGCAATTTAGAAATACATAAAACTGTAAACCTTCAGGTGGCATAGTCCACAAAGGAGTTACTTACAGCCTCGTGTAGTTCTTCATGCTGACAGCAAGATTTGGGGATGTTGATGGACTCTTCAGGCCCCGAGGTATTAAGCAGCGTCTCTTCTAACTCAATTTCTTTCTCGAGTTTCACTAATACTGGTGGCTCAACTCCATATCTGAAAACAAGCCAGGAAATCCGATCATGCAATGTGTACCAACTACATCTCTGCAGATCAAACAGTCAAAACAGGGGATGTTTTACTCTGGAGCGAAGTCTGCATGACTCTTCCCTACAAACTGATTCACAGGGACAGCTGGAAGTTCTTTTTTGTTTTTTGGGCTTTTTGTTTTGTTTTTTTGAGACAGGGTTTCTCTGGGTAGCCCTGGCTGTCCTGGAACTCGCTTTGTAGACCAGGCTGACCTCAAACTCACAGAGATCCACCTGCCTTTGCTTGCTGAGTGCTGGGATTAAAGGCATGCACCACCATCACTCAGCTGGAAGAGGTCTTTTTTAATGTTTCAGATTGCCCCAAATCCAGACTATAATCTCTATAACATAGCATATATCTGGGTTATGTGATATTTCAAGATTTTTTTTGGAGTCCTGAAAGGCAGCTTAAAAACAAGCTGGTGGGTGGACAGGGTTGATGCAGGCAGGGGGGACACAAAGCCTCAGACTTCTCACCAAATGGGACTTGATTTGCTTTGAACTGCTTGAAATTACCCATTTTTACCCTATTCTTGATCTGAAAATTTTAAGTAGCATTTTCCCAATTTCGTATGAAATGAAAAAGCAAGGTAAATGAAGAAAGCAAATGCTGACACGTGCACATGCAGATATAAATAAAGACAGAAAGAGACAGGACAGAAAATCGGGTACTTCATTTTCATCAAGAGGCGTATTCTTTCGGGATAGAAACTACGATCAAATTAAGTTGCTTGAAGGTATTTTTGATGTTGACATGCTGAAATACTGAGAAATACGTACCTTGACACAATCCGACCAATCTCAAGAAGACAAAGGTACACCTGTCTGGGGTCTTTATGTAAAACTGGGGAAAAAATAAGACCATATGTTTTTAGAATCAGATTAAAACTGGGAAATACATTCTGGCCTAGGAGAGAGCCAAAGGAAAGAATACTGCAGACAACAGGCTTACTTGTCTGGACAAGACTCAGAAAAGACATTTTTACTGTCACCACAGCAATTTCCTCTGCATTAAAAATAAACTAGCGAGCACAAAGAGAATGGGCAGTGGCCAAGGACATTTACTTGTTTAGCATTTCAGACTGAAACCTATGGATTTAGTAGCACTAAATTGTGTTAAGGGCTGGGAGATGGCTCGGTCCAAAGTTCTTCCTGCACAGACATTGGGACATGAGCTCAGATATCTCGAACCCAGGCAAAAGCCATGTATGGGGGCACACATCTGTAACCACAGTGCTGGGAAAGACAGAGACAGAATATTCCTGAAGCTCAATGACCATCTGATCTAGATGAATCGATGAGCTCCAGGTTTAGCAAGAAACCCCGCCCCAACAATAAGGTGGAGAATATCGAAGACCCTTGATGATGACCTCTGCCCTCTCCCCAGCACAGTATATGACATATCACTCCACAGGAGCTGCTGCTAGAAGAGACATGTCACTTCAAGTTTACTCTGAACGGTGTGTTTCTCAAACTTTACAAGGACAGGAAGCAGCAATTTCTTACTTACTCTATGATGCATCGTTATCTTCAAAACAAAGTCAGAAGAGGACGGTATCACAAGAAAACTAAAACCTAAGTCCTCACAAGATGTGACTTAATGATCTCTGACAACACTGTCAACAAAACCCAGCAGCATACAGAAAGTACTACATGCAAGGAGACGGTGAGATTTATGTCAGGAACGCAAATAGTTCAATATATGAAAATCAACCAAGGTAAGTAATAGAAACAGGGGTCTTAACACCACAAAAAAGGGGGACAACACACAGACCAAAGAATCAGAAAGAATCTAACACCACGTGACTATGTGACACAAAAGATGAAGAGGCCAGAGGGAACTTTCTCCATCTGATAAGGCATCCAGGAAAAAACGTATGGCTAGTAACATTCTAATACCATTTCCATGAAAGGTAAGTGGTGGAAAATCTTCCTCCTGAGGACAGGTTAAAGATAACAGTATCACTCTCACCAGTTTATTCAACACTGCACTGTTTGTGGCCTCAAGACAGTAAGAGATAAACAGGTAAAGATCCACACTGCCTTTGTTAGGCAATAATATTTAGATATGACAAAGTACAAAAAAGTAAGGAAAAGAGACAAACTTAATTTTTTTTTCAAGACAGGGTTTCTCTGTGTAGTTTTGGTGCCTGTCCTGGATCTCCCTCTGTAGACCAGGCTGGCCTCGAACTCACAGAGATCCGCCTGGCTCTGCCTCCCTGAGTGTTGGGATTAAAGGCATGCGCCACTATCGCCCGACTTAACTTAAAATGTTTTAATTTGAGGCTGGAGAGATGAGATGGCTTAGCAGTTACGAACACTGATCTCTTTTGGAGGACCCTGGTTTATTTCCACATGATGCCTGGAAACTGTAATTCCAGGCCGATGCTAAACTTGTGGCCCCATGATGACCCTTTTGCCTTGATAAACTCCTGAACCTGTGATATGTGATTGCCTTACAAAAAATGTGTCTAAGCAGACACCTTGACAACTCCCTTCCACATGATGTGTTCTCGCTTATCTACCCCACAGGCAGCCTTGAGCCCCGAGTCCCCCCTCTTCTGTCCAGGGGTTTCTATCACACTTACCTACCCCACAGGCAGCCTTGAGCCCCGAGTCCCCCCTCTTCTGTCCAGGGGTTTCTATCACACTTACCTACCCCACAGGCAGCCCTGAGTCCCCACTCTTCTGTCCAGGTGCTAACAGCCCAATTATCTCAACAGCTGTTTACTATAAACCCTAACCCTTCCCCATAAAAGGGACCCGAAAAGCCAGTGGGGGGCCTGCTCTCTGAAACCCCATCTTAGGGGTCGGCAGCCATCTGGTCAGTCTAAATAAAGCAGGCTTAATCAGACAGTTGTGGAAATGGTTTTCCCTGGAGTTTTCAAGAAGTCCTAAGGAAGTCTGGAATCGTAACCTAATGTGTGCAGTGTGTTCTGAGCCCACACACTGATTCCACCAACAGAAAGGGCACTTGTTCTCCGAGGCGTGCATAGCATCTATTACATACACTAAACAATCTGTTTCCTTCAAAACAGGCCTTGATTACAGGTGTGTACCAACATGCCTGGTATAAAGGATTAGCTTTTAAAGCAACCAAAGGCCTCTATTTCAGTTTAAATCTACAGAAATAAAGAAATTTAACATGAAATATTTCAAACCCATTTTTATAAAATCCTAAGTACCTTAAAATAGCATATTTAATTTTTAAAATTACACTGAGTTCCAAGCAAATGTAAATATATATCTCTCACTTCAATGCCTACAAATGAGTTACTGGTATTGACAGTATTTTTCTTAGTCCTACACTGCCCTTCAGCACGGCTGGAAAATGTCTTTTACATTTAAAAAATAAATGGCAATCTCAGAGCTTTTCAGAAAGAATAAGCTACAGAGGAAAGAATTCAAAGCACTTCCTCCTCCCTTTGATCTCTGGTAGCTGGATGTGCCATTGAATCAGCTTCACTGTCAGTAACAATCAGCACACCTGGGTGCGGCACAGCTGGCCTTCAGGGCACAGCACCGCAGCATCCCATTCTATCCTGGGCAGGGGGTGGCCAGAGGCACCAACAGGCTGCAGATAATCCAAGAGCAGATCACACTTCACGCTGTTGGTGGAGAATTTTAAAACTAACAAATTCAACTAGAAGTCAGCTGGCTTTTAATCATCACCATAAATCAGGGCCTGTAAACAGTGCCAGTGATAAAACTTCTGTCCAGGAATACGGTGTCCTCTTTGTAATGTAGCTCTCTCATCACAATATTATATGCTCCATGCATGTGCATTTTTATACATGCCTATGTACACATATACACACCTATAAATGCTTGGAAACGTGTGTGTGTAAAACAGCCAGTCAGATGCTCCGTTAGTGCCATATAGATGCATTTGCTGACTTAAGAAAATCAGAAAAATACATCGACAATTTTTCAGTGGAGCACGATTTTATTAGTTTTTTGAGGGGGGGAGGGGTGCGTGTTTCAAGGCAGGGTTTCTCTGTGTAGCCCTGGCTGTCCTGGACCTCACTCTATAGCCCAGGCTGGCCTTGAACCTCTGCCTCCTGAGTGCTGGGATTAAAACCATGTGCCACCACCATCACCCAGCTTGGAGCATGATTTCTTTAATGAAATGTCAAAAAACAAATTATTCTTTTTAGATAATAAAGATGGCAGCTATTATTTACAATTAAATCCAAATATTATAAGCTCATTTCACTTGTTATTTCTATAATGATCTAGTTAAAGAGGAATTGTTGGAATTTAGACCTGGGAGAGTCCATCTTCAGGAAAGTATTAGTAGAACATTAATACAGAATCTTCTGGCAGCCAACTCAGAAAACGCTAGATATACAAAGCCTATTAACATAAGTGAAAAGCCTACTATATTTGATTGATATCTGATTCTCCAACTATTTCATATACAACTGAAGTACTAATTTTGTAAGTAAAAGTGATATGGCATTTTGAGTCACTATTTAGAAAGGAAATTTAGAGATGAGGGACACAAACCCATCCTAATAAACACTACAAGCTCTGACAGCAACAATACTTACCCAAACCTTCAGATTCAAAGAGGTAAGTTTCATCAACCCCGATATGCCGACACCAGTGAAGGAAGTTTGCCGTGTTGTCTCTGGCAAAGAATGAACCTGACGCAGCATCTTTCTTACAAGGCACTTTTCTCATTGGAAAATTCTAGAAAAGACATAAGGACAATTTACCAAAAAAAGGGGAAAAAAAGAATCAATGACGTTTTCATTAGTGTTCATTACAACTACAGACGACACAGTTTGGAGGGAAAACAATTATCTTCAAAAATGACTTTCTTCTTTTACTTTAAGTATCTTCCAGAAAAAGACGCTTGGGAAAATGGTCTACTCAAAATCAGCAGTAGACTCAAGCTTCTCTAATCTTCTTTTTAAAATAGCACAAGACTCTCATAATTTAAATGGCGGCCTGGTAATTACAAAGCATCGACAGTCTCTCTCCACACAGTTCTACTCAAATACAAAACTACGCTATGCTACAGATCAACAAATACTCATTTTTGCTTCCTTCTTCCCACATAGAATCATAAAGGCTACCCTGAGTCTCTTTTTAAAGAGACTAAAATATGGGAGCAGTCGCCCATTCTAAATTCAGGTTCTTTGATGACCTAAGTTTCATAAGACCCTAAGTTGTTACTTTTGTTTTCTTAACTGTCTAGCTCCAGACTATTCTGATATTCCTCGGGGGTTGGGGCAGGGAAGAGGGGAGTTCTTTTGCTTTTACTTTTTACTTGGCAATTCCTAAGAGTGATGTTTTTAATGCAATAGGTACAGCAGGTCTTTCTCCATCACTGCCGGTTTCTCTCTCCCTGGAGACAACCCCTATTACCAAATCTACGCATCTCCTTCCGGGTGCTATTATTTTGCAGAACTGAAATAGCCTGCATGCATGATTAAATACTAAATATATTATCATTACCAAAAATATACAAATAAATATAGCAAATACAAAGATGATTAGTATTAAATGAATCCCTCTCACTGACATTTTGATAAAATCTCTCTCTGCAAAGCCATGCATATGTACCTAGAAAGTACCACACAGATAGGATTCTACAATTCGGTGTGCATGCACTTTGAACATATGTACACTGGATAGGTTGTGGTCATATTTAAGACTTAAGAAGAACATATTTAAATAATTATTTCTAATAAATATATAATATTCCAATGTTTAGGTGACACAATTAATTTTTACAACTTCTCTATTGATAAGCAGATTATTTCTATCTGTTATTTTCTTAGAATGAATTCCTAGAAGTAGAGAATTTTATATATCAAAGGGTGTACTTTGCTTCCAATATTACATATATGGAATCATATGTGTGCATGTATGCATCCACATACAGAGAGATATCTCACTTGTCCTCCAGGAATAACTGTATCACCTTATATTTAACTAATAGTATGTCTAGGCTCCAAGCTCTCACAAACACTTAACATTTGATAAAAAGAAAGAAAACCTAATCTACTTCAAGTCATCACTTTAAACTCCTCTTTTTAAAATGCTATATATTCCACCAATATTTATAAGTTTACCACTAAGGAAGCAGATGAAGACTACAGAGGAGGAGAAAGAGGAGGAGGAGGAGGGGAAGGAGAAGGAGAAGATGATGATGTCGTCTCAGTTAGGGTCACTATTGCTGTGACAGAACACTATGACCAAAGGGTTGGTTGGGATTACACTTCTGTATGATACTGTCCATCATCGAAGGAAGTCAGCACAGCACGGCAGGAACCTGGAGGCAGGAGCTGATGCAGAGGCCATGGACGGGTGCTGCTCACTGGTCTGCTCATCATGGCTTGCTCAGCCTGCTTTCTTATACACAGGACCACCAGCCCAAGGATGGCACCCTCACCAATCACTAAGAAAATGCCCTACAGCAGGATCTTACGGAGGCATTTTTAAATTGAAGTTCCCTCCTTACAGATGACTCTAGCCCGTGTCAAATTGATATAAAACTAGGCAGCACAGGCAGAGACTGTCATAAACTGTTTTCTCCTGTAACCATATAGCAGTCCTGTGGAAGGTACTGTCAATGTGTGGAGGATCTAGCTGCTGGAGATCACCTATAGTAAGTATATCAGGCCCTATCCTAGACACCATCTATAGACTTAACATCAGTGAACATTCACGAATAAATCTTGCAAGGCAAATATTTGTGCTGTTGTTATTTCTGGTGTGCATGTTTGTGTTCGCACGTGTGTGCATGCCCATGGAGATTTGTTTCTTAAGACAGGTCTCTCAGTGAACCTGAAACTCATTGACTAGTTGGACTAGTGGGGCAGGGAGCCTTTGGGACCTGCCTGTCTTTGTCTGCCAGCACTGGGATTACAGACGCAAGCTGCCACAGCCACTTTTCACATGGGTTCTGGGGATCTGAGCTCAGGTCCTCGGGTTCTGCGACAAACCCTGTGCCCACCGAGCCACCTTCCAAGCCTCAAGGTGAATGTTACTGACTCTATTTTACAAATATGGCTTTTCAAATGCACAAAAAGTTAAATCAGTTTTCAAAGCCTTACAGCCAGTTATACGATGTACCCACATAGCGGTAATAAGAAGCAGGCATGCCTACCCTTTTCTGAATAGAAACAGAAGAGGGGATGGGGCGAGGAGGCAGAGGGGGTGGAGGGCTGGGAGGAGAGGAGGGAGGGCAAACTGTGGTCAGAATGCAAAACAAACAAATAAAGTAGGCATGAGCAATTAACTTCACCGTGGTCAATATTTACTTACCCCTGGTTCTTCCGAGTGGCATCCTTTGACCATATTCTGAAGAACATTAATTAATTGGCACAACAGCACTCCATTATCAAGTTCTTCCAACAATCTTTCTGCCTTAATGTCAATACCTAAAAACAGATTTTAAAACTAAGACCTATCTAGAAGCAGCAAATTCAAAAGCAGTGGCTACAACTAAAACATGATCAGATAACACCTAGAAAACTAAACAAATAACAGATGAAACTAAGTTTCCAGCCTTAAAAAGGTGTATTAAAACAATGTCAGTTAACTCAAACACAAAAGAAAAAAATCTGTGATGCATAAAGTTCAGAAAAAATACATGTAAATTTATATGAGATAAATTCACTGCACATTGGTATCACTTGTACACGGGAAATATGTTCTTTATAAATAAGATGGACTACATTGCAATTTAAAGATTAAATACAGTATCAGAATAAGCAGTCTGAGAATATCAACTTCTGCCTCTAAAATAACTTCTTTAAAAGCATTCTTACACTGTCAACTTTAAAATCTTTCCAATCACCAAGCTGAGACAAAACTAGAGTAGCTGTTTAGTGTGTGGTTATCTTCCAAGGGCCTCAGGCCATCTTCAGGCTTTCCCTCTCATGAAAATCTCAGGATGCTACATGAGCGTCTATAGTTAAGTGATCTGAGGGACTCAGGAGAAGGCTCACTAGTAAAGTATGAGGTCCTGAGCTTGTGTTCCCAGAACCTACATAAAAGTGAGGTGTGTTGGTGTGCCTGTGGCAGAGTCAGGCAGATTCCTGGAGCTTGTGGCCAGTAAAGCTAGCATGCACGTGGTTACACACAACACAGCCCCCCAACACCCGTAACCACACACATGCATACACATAAATGCACACATACACACCCACACATACATAAAGCAAAATGTCAGCCCCGCCCCTGCCCCAGAAAGAAAGCTCAGAACACTCATCATAATCTTGAATAGAGTAAAAAAATGTAAAGCCAGGAATTCTCCAACTGACATTTCCTTTGCTTCTACCCCTCAGTGTTTCAGAAACAGTATTCATTTTTATATAACTAACTATATCTTCCATTTATAGCCTTACAGATCATATATGATAGGAGAAATCAGCAAAAAAAATCAATATTAGACACACATAATTTTTGAAATATATTAAAATTAACCATAAAGTATTGATTATTCAAAAAGACTAACCACTTCAATCAAATTTCAAGTTTCCTACAGTTCAAGGGTGAGAGCGAGAGTATCTTTTTAGCTCTGCAGACTGTGAAAACAAGGGCCTGGCTGTCACTCACTAGCACATCCCTGGCATCTGGAACAATCGATCACTTCTTTAATGAGGATTAAAAAAATCAGTGTCTTCGCAAGCCTTACCCAGTAAGCCAGATAACCAAATCGAGAGGTCTTCTTGCATGGGCAGTAGAGTGGCTTCATGCCTCACGGATATCCATTCGTCATACTGACAGACATCAGCCAGTCCTGGTCCGTGTCTGGGGGTCAGGGGACACCTGGGACTTAGAGGTAGGTCCTCCCCAAACCACACCTGGACAAAACACCAAATAGCTAAGAGTCACCAATCTTCTCGGAAAGTCACCATAACCCACCCACATGTGTCCATGTTTACATAAGCAGGCATAAGCCATACAGACTAAGCAAAACTGCATCATCTCATAGAAATACATAAATCAGAAGCAAATTGGATTATTCCGAATGTTTTCAATATTTAACACAGTGGTCAATGTCAATGGACACTAAATTAATGAATGAGTTCTGCTGTAGAGTCCAGAGGAAAACAATTCAACAAATAGTACTTTTTTTCTCCACTTGTTAAACCGGAATCCCCACATCATAGCTATAAAATGGGTTAACGACACCTGCCTCACAAAACACACGTCTGTAACAACTAGCACTGGCCCTGACAGACAGCAGATTCAACAAACATCTGTTGAATGGATCCGTGGATGAACGCATAAATGGCATCTGCAAACTTCAAATCATAATTGTCATGTTTTAGATATCTATTTGATTATTTTTAATTTTGTGTGTGTGTGTCTGTGGGTCTGTGCATATTAGTATCAGTGCCCATGGAGGCCAGGAGAGGGCGTCAGATCCTTTGGAGTTGCAGTTATAGGTAGCTGTGAGCCACCTGACCTGGGTTCCAGGACCAAACTCAAGTCCTCTGTAGGAGTGTATGGGCTCTTAACCACTGAGCCATCACTCCATCCCCTACAATGCTATCTTTAAATTTTTTTCTAAATATTTTGATTAAAGCAATAGAATGGCAAACTACAGTCCAAGCAAATTTGTCTTATCTGTATTTTTTTATGACCTACAATTAAAACTTTTTTTTTTTCGAGACAGGGTTTCTCTGTATAGTTTTGGTGCCTGTCCTGGATCTCACTCTGTAGCCCAGGCTGGCCTCGAACTCACAGAGATCCACCTGGCTCTGTCTCCCAAGTGCTGAGATTAATGGCATGCGCCGCCGCCACCACCACCCAGGCCTTAAAACATTTTAAAATGGTTGCTATACAAGTACCCATCTAACAGTCTCAATTTTTGCCTACTGGCCTGCAAAGCCTAAAATAATTGCTTATAATTTAAAGTAAAAAATAAGAATAAAATTCCATAAATATACTAACAAGTCAACACTTGAAAATAGTTGAAATATAAACAGATTTGCTTTCAGACTGTTTATAGGAAAGATTCAATTGTGCAAATTATGAAAAAAACAATCATGAAGTCACTTTTTTAAAGGAGTACAAATGGTTCTTGTCCTCAAGAGGGGTGTTAGAGCCTGAGTGAGGTGAGCAGAAGTTATTCAAGGGAGGCAACTTGGAATGTGAACAGCAGGATCCTAAGGGATGCATAAGGTGACCCTATGTAAGGTGTCTGGTTCTGAACTGGATATGAAGGGCTCTACTGAGGTAAAACAGGATAACCTGTAGATAGCTTCCAAGTCAAGTGAACTGTGTGTCTCTACCAGGGAGAAGGTGCAGCCACAGTAAAAGTGAGTCCACACACAGAGAGAGTTAGTGAATGGTAGGTCGTTTCCCCACTGCTAGAGAAAGGAACAAGTATGGAGTGGGAGGGAAATGAACCTTAGGATCTGACCACAGACAGCCAAACATCACTCCAAGGATGACGGATCAAAACGTCACAGGAGAAAAAATCAGGAAGTCTGACTTCTGTTGTTCAACTACTAGTGAGTGGGAGGTCTGCCTTGGAGTGCCGTTTATACACCCGTTTCTACACTGAGCAAAGTGATAGTCCCTCTCCCAGCAGATAACAACCATAGCTTCTGGCTATGGTGGGTCTTCATGAGCACTTCCCTTCTCTTTCCTGGGGTTTTTGTCTGGCTTGAACTTGTGCAGACAAACTATAAAGGGAAAAAAGAAAAGCCCATTTCCAATCGCCTCTGGTAAGATATAAACATATGTTAGAGAAAGGATTACCAAAGAAACAAACTCCTGAAGGGCCACTAGGCAGTATGCGACTGGGCAGTTCTCCCCATATGCTGTCTATCTCACTGATTCCCAGCTACCCTGCAGAATGTGAATTACCACCCTCCCCCTACCTTCCAGGTGATTCACCAGACTCTCCCTCCTGAGACTGACAGATGTGGGATCGGAACTAAGCTGTGACTGACTCCTAAGTTCTGACTTTCCAGTGTGTTTATTCCCAGCTGACTGCATCTTTCTAGATAAAGGTTCACTGTGACTTTTGCCTTTAAATTAACATTTCATTGTTCTATTAAGAACCAAAGAAAGAAAACAAAAGAAAGGCAAAAAATACAGCAAACATCAACTTTGAAAATCATTTAAATGTTAAGACTATCATGGTTTCTGTGATTCCCTACAGCTGGCTTCACCCAGCAACAAACAAAACAAACAAACAAACAAACAACAACAAGAAGAAGACAAAACAAAAGCCCTACTCATTTTAATTTCGGTTTTAACACACAGTCAGGTACAGGGTCATTTCTAAAGCATATGTATAATTACCTAAGAATTACATCTTGTATTTGTTTTGTACTGCCGTTCCCTCAACTGCAAACATGTCCCATGATCTAATGAGGGGAGACTCTAAAAACATTCTACTTATTTTCACCAGGTTGACCTACCAGCCCCCAAATACTTCTGATTCTTTCAAAGATCTAGCACAAGTCAAACTCAAAATTAAAATCTGGGAGCTAAAAAGTCAAAATGCAGTATGCCTATTGTTAAAATGTAGTGTTAAAAAAAAAACTCATGCTATGAAAAGAACTAAATCAATAATATCAATTCGTAATTTATATTCATCTTCTACAAGAAGAAAACTTACCTGAATTGCAGGCTGCATAGTCATCTCCACTGAGATGAAACTAATATTCTGGAGAGAGACGAAGGCATTAGCATGCAGATGATTGCAGAGCCCCTACTCCCTCAAATCCCAAATTACAAGAATCAGGAATGTGCTTTACTCCCTCTTTTTTGTTTTTTGTTTGTTTGTTTTGTTTTTTCGAGACAAGGTTTCTCTGTGTAGTTTTGCTGACTGTCCTGGAACTCGCTCTGTAGACCAGGCTGGCCTCGAACTCACAGAGATCCGCCTGCCTCTGCCTCCCGAGTGCTGGGATTAAATAAAGGCGTATGCCACCACCACCCAGCGCTCCCTCTGACTCAACACCTGAGACACTGTCATCTGGCTAGAAAACTATGAGGAACTCAGGGACTCTTGCTTCTGCCTCCATAAGGGCACTTGTTACTCTAAGGAGAAAAACCTGAAACACTTTGATACATTGTCCCGGGCACTAATAATCAAAGCAACTGTTCCAATGTCTGCACAGTGAGGCAGAACTCATGACAAACGTGCTTCACAGAACAGCCTCCCACAAGTTGCAAAAGTGACGTAAATATAACCCCTCAAAACCGATACCGAAACTCAAGCATCTTTTATCTCTTCGCAGTGATCATATCTTTATGCGTCAGATGGACTTTATAAATCACATGCTTAGCCGTAAGCTTTTCCCGCTAGGTAACAAGATAGTAAAGGTAACTATCAGTTTCAACTGTGAATTAAAAACACTCAATACCTTCCTGTGAGACTTTGTCAAAAACAAAAGGAACAGCAGTGTTGGCTCCGAAGCGCTGTTCTTGAAATCTACAAAGGAAAGATCAGCTTTAATAAATTAAATGAGATCAATACACTCTTTAATGTGTTTTTCGGGGAGAAAGTAAGTGGAAGGGCTTGAAGACAGAAGAATATCGACTACATAAAAGTATAGGTTTGTTGCTTGTCTACGGCAGCGTAACGTGCTCTATTTTTATCAGAAACTACCACTAGAAGACTTTCAGAGAAAATTATGAACTGTTTGTAAGACTCAACCGTTACCTGTTTCCAAGGTTATGCCCTCCCCCGAGCTCCCCCGCACACATCTCCTGCACAGTGCTACTCTACACACCGCACGCTCTAAGCACCGAGGGGAACCTGAGCTAAAGCTAGCCGAAGAGCTTAACGTTACAGCGCATTTTCTCTGCAGAAGGCAAAAGACCACAGACTGCCCTTTCTGACTTCAGTTTTCCTTCCCTCCGCCACAGAAAAGGCCAAAGCACAAGTGAGCATTGCTAATGAGCCAGTTAGGCTTCCCACCAGCTAATTCAGGGGGGAATACATTTTCCTTTAGCATAAATAACCCTTTGTCCCCAACAAAGGTCCACAGTGTGAAGCTTCCGAGACCATTTCTTAAAAACGCAGCAAAGAAGCTGCTCCCATTAAAATGAAGTTCCACATAATCAGACAAGAGCTCTAACAGTTGGAGCTGCCGACCACCAACAAAAGAAGGCTGCAATTATAAGGCGTGTGCACACCCAGAACAGTGGCACATTCACAAAAGAGCCGTCACAGGAATGTTCAGCAGCTGCACTTTTTACGGAAAATTCAACAAAATTCGTTTTATGAAGGAAATGAAGAATTTGTGCACAACAATCACTTGAACTTCAGCAAAAGTCATATGTTTTCGAATTCTTCTTGAACAACAGACAGCACTCCTGAAATGGCAGAAACATAACCACCCGCATTACCTCTAAAAATGCTTCTTTAGAGCTAGGGACAGCTCAGCTGCAGAACACTTGTCCAGCATATGCAAAGCCTTGGGCTCAACCCATGGTACAGCAGTAAAGGAATTAGCTAATTTGTAATAAACAGTACTCGGGTAAGTTGTAACAGATCCTCAGCTATGAAAAGCTATTATGTACACTACTTATTTAGGGGAGAACTTTTATAAACTGTCCAGACTAAATCAGTTAATCAGGCACTTAATGAGCACTCACTACATTCCGGATGTAGAGACCAGTGTGTATGTATGTATATATGTGTATGTGTGTGTGTGTGTGTGTGTGTGTGTGTGTATGTGTGTTATATTTATATACATACAGATAATACATTTACACACACACACACACACACACACACACACACACACACACACACACACACACAAAATCTAGCTCTTCACACTCCTCTTGTAAGCCAGTTACACATCCAAGAGTAGCTGCTTGGTCAGCCCAACTCTGGTCCGTACCACAACCTCAATCTCCCTTTCCTCATTTTATCCTGTCTTCCTTATTTCTAGGTTCCCCTGAGTCTCAGCCTCAATCTGAAGCAACAACACTTCGTTCCTGGGGGTGCACTTCGATCCTGCGGGTACACTTTGATCTTGGGGGTGCACTTCATTCCTGGGGGTGCACTTTACTCCTGGGGGTATACTTCATTCCTGGGAGTGCACTGTGATCTTGGGGGTGCACTTTGTTCCTGGGGGTGCACTTTGTTCCTGGGGGTGCACTTCGATTCTGGGGGTGCACCTCGATCCTGGGGTGCACTTAATTCCTGGGGGCACACTAGTTTTTCTCTTTCTTCCTTCCTGTCTTACTGGGGAAGCTGACTTGGATTTTCTACCAGCGTTAACAGGACTTTTTGATTGTCGGACTTTTACCCCCTTCCGGTTGAGTAAAAACAAAACAAGAACTCTCACGTGACCAAGTTCAAACTGCACCCTGATCCTGATGGGAGTCTTTCACAAGCAAACATAAAGCTTTGAAACTCCAGGGAAAATGTTAGAAACAGGATATGTCTTCCACATGCAACTTGACCAGGACTGAGCCCGACCCACTCACTCCAGAAAGAAATAGTGAGATCCTTGCAATTATTTTTCTTAAGGCTCTTCTGTAACTTTGACCTCAGACTATACGACAGAAAAGCACTCCATGGAGCATTCCTTCCCAGGGCTGCAGGCTCTGAACCACAACACACTACATTCCTCTCCCACACTATAGGATTGATAGGAAGGACTTAAGTCCCATGACACAGAAATCTGGCATCAACTAGGGAAAGCTGCAAAATGGCAAACAAGGTAAGATTCTTTGGCGAGGGGGGCGGGGTTTGCTACTAACCCACAAATCCATTCCGCACTCAGCCACCCCATGACTGCCCATACATGTGAGCCGCAAAGATATGACCAGTGCCAAGCTGGAACAGCAGTAAAGGAGTGGCATTTTTCTATTAGTCTGTACACCTGCAATGTATGTCAAAAAGCCTTGCCATTTTAATGTCTTTTTCTAAAATAATATTTGAAGAATATAGTATTCCTGATATATGTAAAAATTTTAAATTTTTAGCTTTAAAATTCTTAAAATGTTTCCTAGATGTTAGCAGAGAAAATAGAAATGCCATACCTATACCAAATATTTCTCATATATTTTAAAGTACATACTAAGTCCAAGGTATTGGATTCATCTGGATTCAAGTCCTGCTCCAACATAAATCAGCTATATGACTGTGATATAGCTAACTTCTTGGAACCTAAAAGTTTATCAGAAAAACAGGGTATCACAATCACGACCTCAGATGGCTGTTATAAAAATAAAATGAGGAAACATAAAAAAGCTAGAGAATAAAGTTTAAAGGTGTCCCCCCCAAAAAAAAATGAAATGAAATGACACATAGAAAGTACCTGGCTTAGGAGCACTTAGCAAATGACTGATATTAAACCTATGAGACAGAATTACAGTCCATTTAACAAAATTAAAAAGGTAAGACAAGACCAACAGAATTCAAACACCATTAAATATAACTTAGAAGGTTACTTTTGCTAACAAATGTATGGTTATAAATGAAAATAAAAGCCACATCAAAACTTGAAGTCAGAATACGCAACCTAGGATTCTCTTTGCTAGAATAAGTCTTCATAAAGTTGTGGAATGTGCAATGTACGTGTATGCACAAGAGGCCACACATGCAGAGGCCACCGCAGGTCATCAAATGTCCACGCCCTTCACTCTGCCTTGGTACCTTGAGACAGGGTCTCTCACTGAACTGGATGCTCTCCATTTTAGGCAAGTTGGCTGGTCAGGAAGCTCATAGGATTCGCCCGTCTCTACTTCACCATGCTGGGGTTATGGACATGCGCAAGCAAGCCCTGCTTTTATATGGGTTCTAGTCCTTATCCTTGCAAAGAAAGTATTTTTACTATGAGCCATGTCCTCCGCCCATAAATTGGTATTTTTTTTTTTTTTTTTTTTTTTTTGGTTTTTCGAGACAGGGTTTCTCTGTGTAGCTTTGCGCCTTTCCTGGGACTCACTTGGTAGCCCAGGCTGGCCTCGAACTCACAGAGATCCGCCTGGCTCTGCCTCCCGAGTGCTGGGATTAAAGGCGTGCGCCACCACCGCCCGGCCATAAATTGGTATTTTAAACACAGATTCTTTGCTCCATTTAGCCTTATTTCTCGGTCACTGTTCAGGACATATCCTGTTTCGTGTGACATACACACATTCATGTCTTCAATAAACATCTATTGATGTTTGACCATATTCATACTTTACTGAACTAGTTACCATAAATAAGAATAATGTGATGACCATATTACTGCCTTTACAGAGCTAATAACAAACCCCACTGGAGGAGACTGAAATGGAAAGTAGACAAATACATGTATGATGTTAAACCATGCAATGTTTTGACAGCAAAGAACAGAATCTCTCAAGAGAAAATATCAGGGTCCTACTTTAGACTTAAATTGAATGAAATAATTTTCCTGTAAGAAAAGCATAAATCTGAAGAATAGTAATATTACATCTAGTGTGGTGGTATTGTGTTCCCCCAAATATTGTGCACCCTAATAAACTTATCTGGGGTCAGAGACAGAATAGCCACTAGATACAAAGGCTAGAAAATGGTGGCACTCACACCTTTAATCCTAGCATTCCAGAGACAGAAATCCCTCTGGATCTCTGTGAGTTCAAGGCCACATTAGAAACAGCCAGGCATGGTGACTCACGCCTTTAATCCCAGAATGCGAGCCTTTAATCCCAGGGAGTGGTGGTAGAAAGCAGAAAGATATATAAGGCGTGAGGACCAGAAACTAGAAGCATTTGGCTGGTTAAGCATTTGGTTAGTTAAGCTTCAGACTTTCGAGCAGCAGTTCAGCTGAGAGCCATTGGGATGAGGACACAGATGCTTCCAGTCTGAGGAAACAAGACCAGCTGAGGATCCGGTGAGGTGAGGTAGCTGTGGCTTGTGCTGGTTCTCTGATCTTCCAGTTCACCCCAATACCTGGCTCAGGTTTGATTTTATTAATAAGAACTTTTAAGATTCATGCTACAGTCTAGCCAAGAAAAGATAAAGGGTTCTGTGCATAGGGAGCAGCTATAACAAAGACCCCGTATGAAGAAAGTATGACGCATTCCAAAAACTTACAGAAACACAGTGGCTGAAGGATGGGGAACATGCGGCTTAGAATAATGTTGGAGAGTGGCCCCACCACACAGGCAGTGTTGGGAAAATTAGATTTCACTTTAGATGCAGCAGGAAACCACTAAACAGTGTTAATGCAGGAGTGGGGGCATGATCTCACTCAGAGTTTTAAAAAGCTCCCTGGGGATAAAGGGATACAGGGGTAAAACAGAACTGAGTTGAGCAGAGAAAAGCAGAAAATGAAATGCATGTGGCTGGAGATGTAAGAAAAAGAACTGAGGGAAAGGAACACAGGAACAGTGAGGCAGCATAGGGAGCCTCCCCAGGAGAGGGAGCGCAATCTGAAACGAGAAGAGCTAGGAAGCCCCAAAAGTAGTTTAATACCAGATAACACTGACTGAACAGGTATTCAC